ACGCAATGGAGAAAAATGATTCATGTAGCCGACCCCACGTAGGCTTTGTTGTTATTGTTGTATATTATTTTTATCTTATAGCTATTTTTTTTCTTTTTCTTTATCCAACTTTATTCACCGTTTTAATTTAACTTTTTAGGTTTCTTAAAAATATTTTTAATTTACTCCTAAAGTTTTTCAATAAGTCACTACTTGTTAAACTATTTATGTTCTTGAAATGAAATTTTATCTTTAAATCCATATCAAACTTTATTGAAAAAGATGTAGAACATAAATATTCTTGAGGATGATCACAAGAATAAGATGGTTTATTGCTACAATACAAATCCACATCTAATTTTCTTGAAAACAAATCTATGCCGACATTTGAATATTTTCGTAACTTTTAACCTACTTATGAGTCAAAATTTGAGCCTAAAATAAAATTTAGCATGAGAACATAAACCAAAATTCTAACAAAAATTAAATCCATTGCTAAAGTTAAAATTCAGCTAATCATGCACATTATACTTGCTGAGTCAATTAAGAAAACTGATAAAACTAAAAAAAATTAGCTTTTGATGTAATTTTTATGATGAATAATCAATTTGGTATTCTTTTATTCTTGGTTTCTGCTACATAAATTCATTAAAATAATCTTATTGATCAAAATAAAAAATCCCTAGTATATTTATAATAAGCAAGGATCTTAATCCATTGGTACATCTTTTTTATTGATGCTTCTTTCAATGATGCAAGTCTCTAAGTGATGGCACCCTTGACAAATTACATGTATATGCAGATTAGAGCATTTTCTATGTTTTCTCACATCTAATCCAACACTCGTAACACAAGAAATGCTACCATTGTTATAATAAGATAAAGATAGCATCTATCTTTAAGAGATTCAAAGTTTCTTCAATGAAATGCATAGTTGCTCTTCTGGTGCATTCTGGACAAATAGGCATGTTCCTACCTTCTAAAGAAGAGTTTCAAACAAGAGAAAATTAATTTCGTATATAATCAGATCGCTAACGATCAATTTTTTTTTCTATGTGAATTAAATAGAGTTAGTTGTTCTTTCTTTATCATTTATTATTTAAATAAATAATACTACGTTATAAGCCATAAAAATTGTCTGGACTTCCATCGATATCTCTTTTAGATAGCCGATGGGTTTTGTAAAAGATCATTTATGCTGAGTTGAATAAAAATTTCCTGTAGACACACTTTGGCTCCCTACAAAAACTTAAATAAGGATTCAGCAATTCAAATGCTTTGAAGATCCAGGATCTACAACTTGAGAATTATTCTATTACTTCTTTATCTTTCCCTTCGTATGCTTCTCTTAAAAGTTTACTGAATTTAACACTGAAACGTTGCCACCTTCTATCAAACAAAATACCTTTTTTAAAAGTTATAGTTTAAATTATCTAAAGATTCCGATACATAATGTTTTATATCAATATATGAGAATATACAACTTACGTCAAAAAAAAATAATAATGAAAAGAGAAAGAAACATATGGATCACAAAATCTGAAATGTTTCAGATTAAGCATATCTTCTTCTCCTAGCAATAAAGGAGATATATTATAAGTAACAGAAAATTTAGTTTTCTGCACTAACCAGCCAGGAAGTCTCATTTTGAAATGCTGCTTTTATATCCAGGTTCTCTGGTCTTACAAACTGTTGCAGGAGAGCCATCTTTTCAAAAAGCTCCTCATCATGTTGCACATCCTCTGGAAGTGAAGCAAATGCCCGATTAAAAAGTTTTGTCATTACATATTTCTCCAATCCCTACAATTAGGAATATAACATACAAAAAGGTGCCAAGTTCAGAAAGCATGTGAAATGAAAGGCGAAACAATGAGAAAACAAAATTGCAGTGGTTAGCTTGATTGTGAAGCTGAAGAGTAAAACTGATTTTATATAGAAATCCCCAACCAGTAGGATTAAATATTTTGGAACGTGCAAAAAATACAAGGTAGAATAGATAATGTTCATGACTGAAGAAAAACAGAAGTTAATTGATTTCCAACCTTAAAATCAACTTATGAAAAGATTTTCTTTAATCAAAATTGCATGGCTTTAGAACGAGTCATTTAATTGAAACCGATTTCTTTTTATCTCCCTGTGGTTGTATAAAGTAGAGCTTATCAGTAATAAACCTAGCTGATGCTTATATATAATGTCATGTCAATGCATATAATTAAAAGCCCAAATATTAAGGACAATTAAAATTGCATTCATTCATGTCCCTTAGGATAGTTATACTAACATAATAGCATAATTTAATTGAATACGCCTAGGTGGATGTCAAGAACATTAGATAGTCACAATCCTTATCCAGATAGACTTGTATATCTAGTTGGTTAAGCTTTGAGTATCTGTAGTTAAATAATCCCTTTCAACTCTTTTCGTAGGCATTCCTTTTGCATCTAAGGATTGTAATTCCTACATATAAATTGGCTAAGCACCTATGTTTTCTTTCCTTTGCTTGACATCATGACTCTTTTTGACGATGCAATTTCTGGTTGCCAACAAAGTGCTTCATGGATAAACAAGATCAACAACTTTTATGGCTAAATGATAGCAAACTTGATAATCTAGGTTGACCAAACCATCATAAATGTGTTATTTCTACCTTTTCTTTAGTTCATTCCCTATAGCCATCATTCTGTTGAGAACATTCATTCCACCTTACTTTAGGGGCTCATCATTCATCATCGCATAAAATTTTTTTAAGCAAACAACATCGCCTCACTTGGTTTTAGCAATTCACCCTCTGGCTTATGAACAGACTCACCTTATAGTATAGACTATCCTATTAGAATGATAATTTTGAATTATGATACTCATTGATGTCTACCCATTCAGTCAAACACAAACATATTTTTTTATTGAAAGCTCTTAAAGATGTCCTCGAGTGTAATTAACATTAAGGATTCGATTCTCTTTAGAAGGCTGATTAGCTCAGATCATTTGATTTAATTAGAAAAAAAAAACTAATGCGATATTACGATTTGTCAAGAACTATTTGCATGAATTGAGACAACACTTGTTGGTCCTACATCACTAGACCCCATATCTTATTTTGTAGAATCTCCTACACAAAAAGTACCACATATTATCCTTCTTTACTAATCAACATTTCGTCCATACAAAAAATTAAATGAAGGTCAAATATGGCCAACATACAAAAGCTGCTATGGGATTTCAACGAGACTTATGTGAAGGGAAAGGTCATAACTCAAAAGCAACAACCCAAAAGACAAACAGTCATGGACCCTTACGCCTATGCATGACAATCAATGATAGGTACTGAGTCAAGCATATCTTTCTTTTAGAGTGACAACAAGAGAGGGGATTGTAGAACCTCAAAAGATTAAATACGGCCCTCATGATGGACTCTAAGGATGCAATGTGCCTGACAAAAATTTTGTTTCCCCTACCAAATGCATGTAACCAATAATGTTTATGATCCCGAAGTTAACCCCAAACACGATAAACCACAAATATTACAAACAAATACTCTTGACAATAGAAAATTAATAATAAAAATATAAAACACACTCGGGGCTAGGATGATAGTGGTAGGCTGCAGGCCGATGGCATGGAGTTGGGTAGCTGAGGGGGATGCTGGGTGGAGGCTGCAGGAAGGAGGGCTGCAGGGCAGAGGGTTGGCTGCTGTTGGAGGAAAGGAGGAAAGAAGGTTGTGGGAGAGGCTGCTGTAGTAACTCTGTGGTAGGGAGGCTTGTGGCAAGTGGTAAGGAGAGGGTATATGCTGTAGTAATGGAGAAGAAAGGAAGTTGCAACAGCAGGGATGGGACCTGGTAAGGACTTACAGCACTGGGGAGGGACCTCGGAAGGAGTTACAGCAGTGAGGAGATCTGGAAGGAGTTACGGCAGTGGGAGTGAAGGGAGCGAGGTGTTGTGATCCAGCAAGGCTGCTGGGTGACTGAGGGTAATAACCGAAGGGGTGGAGGGGATGTTTCACGGGTTGTAGGGGTGTTGGGATGAGACCAATGGCTGGGAAGGTTTAGGAGTGCAATAACGAGGTGGAACGCAGAAAAGAAGATCTGGAAGACGTGGGAGATGTAGGTGGTCGGCTGGATTGCTAGACAACAGCGGTTGGCAGCAAGGAGGGAGAGTGCAGGTGAAAGTCGGAGAAGATAATCACCAGAGAGACATACAGCCATAGCACCACCTTAACCATTGGGTACAGCCCTCGATGGGAAAACAGGACGCTGGCGGCTGTCCTCACAAAACTGAAATCAGAAAATAACCTAAGCTAAACCCTAAAGCATAAAAACACATATAAATAGAAGAGAGATGGGTGGGAATTGAAAACAGAAAGGGGAAAATTCCCACCAAATGAAAAGAGGGGGGAGGGGGCCGGTTCAGCCCCCTTCTCTCAACTGAACCGGTTCAAGCCAAGCCGTTACAGTTTTTGGAGGAAAATCCCCATGTTAGCTTAATTATGGGAGCCTGGTTTCCCATGGAGGTCTCATAATTTAATCAAATCGTGAGATAGACAATAGTGGAATACTCTTAATTACAGATATTCATTCATACAATTGTGTTCAATAAATTGGAACTTTAGAAATGTTTAGCTTGAGCAAAGGAGGATAGATTTCAGTGGGTTGCCAAGCACGCTAGACCTCATAACAACGTAGACCCGATAAATCACTAATGTGATAAAAGATTGTTAGACGATGCTAAAGAGTGACATAGATGTATGGAACTTGAAATCCATAAAAAATGATCACCTAAAAAAAAGAGTCTAACCTCCTTAAAATATGGTTAATTGAACCACCTCGAGAAGAGATAGACCTCTTAGAGATTGAGCTTAGGCTTCCCTCAATAACAAGAGAGAGAATTGAATGAAACTTGGGTAAGAGAAGGACTAATACTAAGAGAACGCCTGAAAATGCTTATGTACTGGGGAAAGGTTAAGCCATGTTGATGACATAACTTACAAACACTAGAGAAGGGATGTCTTCTAACTCCTAAATATATTAAAATCCATGCCACCAAGTCTTTCGTGCAAATGCACAAATAGGCATTGACTGATTTCAAAGGAAATGAACAAGTATGTGGTTCAGGAAATGCAACGGTACAATACAACGCTCAAGATTTATATGCTGATACAACTCAGGCCCTGAAGAATGCAAGTGATGAATAGGTTGCTGTTGACAAAAACTAAGGGATACAATTGAAGGTGTATAGCCAAATGCTGCTACATCTCTATGTTAAATCATATGATAGACCAATGTACTATTATAGAAAAAGATGACCAATGGCCAAAATTCGGGAAAAAAAATATCTTCTCTTTTAAACTTCCTAAAAATACTAAGTGTTTTCTAGAAGAACTAAAACATGACACAAGAATTAAATATGAAAATGCACTAAATCTCTAAGTATACTAAGAAAGTGATAAAATGAGCGTATGCAAGCTGAGAAAGAAATAACTTCACTAAAAATGTGGTTAAATGAGTGCATGCAATGTGAGAAAGAAACAGCAGAGCGTATGTATTGAAAGCATCAGCCCAGCTACTCAATTCCTTCACAAAATCACAAAAACCGAATGAGCAAAATACCTATAAATTGACATTTAATATGCTATTGAACTAGCTTTAATGTTTTCACATAATTTATTACAATAAGTGAATAAATAATCTAGATGCCAATAACATGGAATAGAACAATATATGAATTTATGACGAAAAGAATTCACAAATAGGGTAACTTGTGAAAGGAGTTGGGTGGCTAACCAGAGTCAGACCATATAGACGTGGATGGCTTGGATAGGAGAACCTGTTACTTGAGGTCAACAAGTCCAAACTATACCAATTAGAGAGACCAACGCAAGAGTATAGGATGCGAATGACTTTTAGAGGGTGGTGGCTTAAGAGAGTGATTGGCTTGACATTGGCACCAATGGATCGATTAAATGGCATGTTAGTGTTCAACATGTACAATGAGAATGGCTGGGATGGTGCAGATTACAAATATAAGCATTACTTACATTGTTGAAGATTTTTTTGTACACATATGTGTGTGCATGTACGGTAAAGGGCTACAAGATAATCGATGTTGTACAAGACTCAAGGCTTTTTAAGCATTTGAAATTGGGCATAAAAGACAACAAAGACGAGTTTTTAAGGGGAATCAAAAAGGAGTCCAATGGATCGATCAGATGGCGTGCTAGGGATCAAAATGTACAACGAGATTGGTTGAGATGGTGTAGATTAAAAGTGCAAGCATCACTTATATTGTTGAAGATTTTGTGTACACGCATGTGTGCATGTACGGTTAATGGCTACAAGATAATCGATGTTGTACATGTCTCAATGCCTTTCTAGCATTCTGAATTGAGCATAAAAGACAACATACACGGGTTATTGAGGGGAATAAAAAAGGAGTCCTAAAGTTTCTCTAAAGGGTGGTCTACCTATCACCAATGCTTTAAGTGGCAATAGCCAATGACCAACAAGTGGAGGACCCAACCAAGACAATATATTGGCAAACACATGAGAGGGAAAGGGTGGAAAGGTGTTTTGGGATAAAAATCCCTACCATAGGGTTGTGACCGTGTAATTGAACTACTCCAAATAGCCCCATGCAGTGCACGAAGCAAGTGTAAGAAGCAAGGGAGCTAGCAGCACCTAGGGGTGATGACTCATTTGAATAAAGTACTAGATGAGCATCAAAGAGAGTAACAACAAAGTTGAAGGGTTGACAATGAGGGTCATCGAAAACAAATCAGAGAATATGATAACTAAACAAATGGAGCCAAAAAGGAGTCTAACGTGATGGTGGATTTTAAGAGTTGAGAGTAGTAGCAATGGTGGCTAAAGAGCAGGAAGATTAGCTCACACAAGTAAGATGAACAATTTGAAATTGCTAACCAAAACAAACCAATTGAACCCTTGGCCAGTTGAATTTCATGGTTTTGTAGAAGGGGAAGGAGAGGACAATTTTAGATGATGTGGCAAAGAAGCATGGAGGTAGCCAAGAAAGCACTGACTGATGCATCACCTAAGAAAAGCAAGTTGACACGCCAACTTTCTCCAGTATCTTCTTCCTTGTATGAAATAAACTCACAAACAAAAGAGCATTGACAAGGAGAAAAGCACTAAGGGTCGAGGCACCACGTCACTAAAAGTGATAACAACCACAAGGTTCAACAAAGTGATAAGAGAATCATTGAAAAAGAAAATTTGACATGATCTACATGTCCAACTCATAACGTAGCGCGATATATTGGTGGCCACATCCCCCAATTTGTACAGAAAAGCAATACAAAGTTAGGGAGGGCAAAAAAATGTCAGTCATAAAGACAATGACAAATGAAAAAGTTTGCAAGGATGACATGTCAGGAAGATGTCGAAAAATAAAATCAAATCTTAACCATAACTTTTTTAGAGTGATGACTTTGAGTAGTTTCCTTATGATAGCTTGCTAAAATGTTGACAAGCTGGTGACAACCAAAAAGACTTTGGAGATGTTGGCATTGGAAGTCGAGAAATTTCCAAGGTGATTGTAGTTTTTGGCCATGATGACAAAGACTTCAACCATAATGCTAAAGCGATGTTTACCGGAAATCGAGTAAAGTGTCAACGCGGTAATGAGGGAGCCATTAGCCATAATTTCAAAAGTTTATCGGCATCTAACACTAAAAACAAAGACATGTTGTTTAGGAGCACACAAACAAAAAATTTAATTACTAAAACTAATGGATCCAGAGACTTATTAAAAAGCCAACCGATTAGGACAAAGTCATCAGCTAAAGAGTCGACCAAGAGCTATCATTTCAAAATCCTAAGCTTACATTTAGGGACATAGAAATGGGCTAGAGCATCAAAATTACTAGAGTCGATTAAAAATAAATGAAATTAAAAGGGAGGTCAATAAATTAACCCCAAATACGTGTGATACAAAGTTTTGGAGCATTGCACGTATTAGTGAGCCTAACAAACATCATTCCTCAAGTATATTGCACCATAAAAAGCTAAACTAATCTAGATCAAAACTAGTATATTTAGAACTATTAAAACCATCAAAATTTGAGCTAGTGAAATAAAAAAATAGCTCAATTTATCAGAGTCAGAGCTTGCGAACTCAAGAAAAGGTATGGTCATCTGAATATGAACTAGTGGATTCGAGAAAGAATCACAGAACTTAAAGTCAAATGAGAACATTATGCTTGCTTGGAATTTTCAATCAAAGCAAACACAAAGGTTTGGTAGACATCAACTATGAAGCTTGTATAAGTAGCCTGCTACATGGCGCAATAAATTTATAATATGCATTAATACTAGCACAATCCTATGTAGAGTAAACTAGAAAAAAAACATTCCTAGTGGCTAAACTAAAGTAAGCTTATGAAAAGATGGACGTCTTTCGCTCTTGAATTTGAAATCGAGACAAGGAGAAACACCTGCATTGAATCACATTAGAGGAGGCTGAGCATAAGCCAAAATAATTAATTGCATACATACAATTTTTGCTTAAATCCGTGGCAAATATTTGTAGAATGTGCAAGGGTAGAAATGAGTAAGTGTGTTCTATTCTTAATTCTAATAATTTTTATTTATATTTTTTATGTTACAGAAAGAAATTTGGTGGCCACCAAAGAGAATATAAGATATTAGAAAAATTTGAGATTAGAAATGTTACTCGTTTACTCGATATTCAAACATTCCCAAATCTGAGTAGAGGCCTTTTTGGATAGGAGTGAAATTTTTTATTGAGCTATGTAGGGCCTCGGTTTCTCCTTGATATATTCACATAAAGAAGAAAGCAAAATAAAATCGGGCATCTAAATGTGGAGGCATGGACAACTCCCTACATACTTGAGGTTTATTTCGTCACATTGGATATAGAAGAAAACAGATAAGCCTTGGACAATAGAAAAAAGAAAATTTTATAAACACTATTTACTAACTTTATAAATATATTTATAGAAATAAGTACTAGGAAGGAAACTAACAACTGCGAAATTACATAGCAAAACATATCAGCACCAGATGGACCATCAGTAGATTGATGCCAGGTTATAGAGAGCTTATATAAATAAAATATTTTTTTAATTAAAAAATGTATTATGTTTTATCATAATTTTTGTAAGATGACCACATGAGACTGAAGAAGGCACAGCCAAAGTTCAACCAGTGCAGATAGTTTGAGCGATCATTTCGAGCAATCAATGTTCAATATATGGAGAGAAGTTGTCAGAGTTGAATAGAAAATAATAATATGTTACTTAAGTTCACATAATTTGGCATACAATACATGTTATTCATTCTCTAGATAGAGAGCTGATTCGATTAACGAGCTGGTTCAAAGGCGAGTAGTTGCTCTTGTTAAAGACATTGAGACCCGAGCCATTGCTTAGTTTAAAGCTTGAACAGCTACAATGAAAATAAAGATGAAAAAAAATATGTCGCCATAGATACGAAAAAAGATCTAGTGGTTCTACAATGAAAATAAAGATGAAAAAAAATATGTCGCTATAGATACGAAAAAAGATCTAGTGGTTGAGGAGGAGGATGAGAAGGTGAAGGATTATGATGAGTCGTATGGTGATCAGTTACTTTCCTTATAAGCTTATTGTGTTATATATTATTTGATTTACTGAAAAACTATATGCTTTTGAAACAATTACATTAGTTATTTATTCAGATATTTTTTCTAATAATTAAGTTTTTTTGTTTTGATTATGGTTAATGTGATTAAATTGCAATCAATTGTAAATTTTCATCACAATGTAAATTATAATTGTTAGTATATTACAGTTTTGGGTGGAAAAAAGAAATTCTATATGAACCTCATTTTATCCTTTTCATTTTTGTGCGGGTTATTGCGAACTTCCAATAAATTTTTCGTCAGTTTGGTCAATACATTAATCGATGCAACGGGTTATCCATCCGAAAAAATTGGACAAACTTCTAGCAAATTTTAGACAAGTTTCCACCGAAAATTTTATCCATTTTTTTAGCTGACGTACAACGATTTTTCGGCGGCACTTCTCATTAATAAACCCAATGGCAAAAATGAGCAAATTTCTGACAAACATTCAGCCAAACATTAGTTAGAAACTATTTTTTTTTAAGGCTTTTAGATCTTTCAAGATGTATTTCCAACCAAGTAATTTCCGACGAAAGAATTTTCATCAAAAAAACACTGGAAAGGCGCATTTCTGATGGATTTTTGTCTATTTTCAATAAAAAAAAAATTATCAGAAGGAAATTACATAATTTTCTATAATATGCCTACATCTCCATTTATTTTTATTGTCCATACACTACCTTTAATTGCCTTATAATAACTCGATGTAATCTACTGGCTTATATGATTATTCTAATAATTATATATGTTAGGAAATGCTTTCAAGTCAACCCATTTCAAAAAGAAAATAGTCCTTTTTATTGGTGGTACTACATAATGATGTTCATGCTCATACAAAAACTTAATCTAAATTTGCATGCCTGAAATTCTTTGGAGAACAATTATTTGAGGTATAGGAGAAAAGATTCAACACAAAAAGCACCAATATGAAGAGCTCTACCAACCACAAGATCCTCAAAGCAAAAAAAGGCAATTGCAAACAGATAGATAATCGCCCAGAAATAGAGTCCAATTGAGGATGTCAATTTAATATTCATATTTTATGTCTTATTTTTTTGTATAAGAACTATAAGAGTGTAAATTAAAATATTTGGAACAACTGAAATTTGAAAATTTATAATTTCAAAATTTTGAAACTAAAATTTTAAATTTTCAAAGAATGGATGGAAATCTATGGGTTAAATGGCTTTTAAATTTAAATAAGAAATGGTTATTAGAAGTTGAAACACTAAATAACCTTCTCTCTCTCCATTCATGGTCAACCATGTTGGAGTGGTAAAGTTGTAACCCATTTGTAACTTCCCCTAACAACTTTGAAGCTTGTGTGGGCCAAACCAATAGCCCTTCCTTTCTATTGGTTTTGAAATTTGAAACTTATTATGATATTTCATTTCAACATATTAAGAGATTTCAATAAAGAATATCTAGTCTTACTCTTTCATTTATACAGATTAAAAGCTTTGAAAACTATGACACTTTAAATCTTAACTAGAAACATTCCTTTACCAATTCAAAGAATTTCCAAGGCGTGAACCCACGAAAAATTTCCACAGTAAAAAAACTAAATCTGAAATTTGTGACCTTGGGTTTAAGCTTGTTCCCATCTTTGGCCTACTCTTTGGCCTTATTAATTAAAACCATTACGTTAAAATCCTTCCCAAGGCCTACATACTATGCCGAGCATCTTTAAAAAGCCTCACAAGCCCAATTGGACCACTTTTCAGAGGTAAAAGCCAAGGCTATATCAACGTCGACCATAGAAACATCAACCATAGAGATGACAACAAATGTAAATGTAAGCAAAGATGAGTCATCTGGGCGATGCAAGATCAGAATTTAACCCATTTTTATGCATGATGGGATAACTAATTAAGAGACTAAAAGAAATAATTCCAATCACAGTCAATCAACTTGTGAAATGCATCATCAATGTAATAATAGACAACCAACTTTAAAAGAAATTCATGTCAAAGATTGATTAGGAAATTTCAAAGATCAAACATGAAAAGCCCAGCATAATTCCTTCTCAATTGCAGCATTGGGGTGCACTTAGTTATCAAAGGCAACCATATACCAAAAACAGATGATAAACTCACCTCACCAGCACTTTCAAGTTCTTCCTCTGAACTACCAGCCCAGAGCATATGAGCCCTGAAAGCCTCTTCCATATTAGCAAGAAAATGCTGTACAGCGGCACTGTCTTTTTCAGGATCTGGGGCTCTATTTGAAAAGGATACAATGAAGCTGCCAATCCACAAAACGTTAGCACTAAAGATCCTTGCATTGGAAGTTTATTTTTTTTTTTTTAAATCAAATGGAGCACGCAAAAATCTTTTTGTGCCAAGACAAATATGTAGTGCAAATTTGTCATTCTACAAGAAAAGGGAATCAACCATATCATTATTTCAATAAGTGAACTCATATACTCAATAAGCAACTTGATGGCATTTGTTTAAGCCTTGAGGCTCATTTAAGTTCATTTAGTAATGTATCAAACAAGATTTAGCGAGCTTGATTAATGAATGAGCGAGTATAAACTTTAATCCTTACATATGCTTTATGTTCATGGCAAGCTTGTTCAATGTTTAATAAGTAGCATACAAAGAGTTGAGAGAATAATTTTTTAATGATACTTTAGTTGCTTATATAATGTTTGTCCCAGTATCTAAAATTAACACCATCGCATGCACTTTTTAAGGAATATTAGTATTCTATTAGAGTTACCATTGAGTTATTCATTAGTCCTTTTTAAGATAATCAAGGTTTTATGTGATTAAGTTATGATAAATCTACATGAGATAATAATTAATCACTTGAGCTTCCATAACAATAAAAATTTTACCAACTAATAACTAAGGAAGATAATTCCAACATACATAAAAAAGTTAACTTATCTCTGAAAAGGATAATGATGAAATTATACAACTAAGTCACATCCAGATACACCAAGAAATTATGTCTTCGCCTAAACTCTTTCTTTAAGCAATTTCTCAGAGTTCAATACCAAGTTGGCTCTCTACAACATCTAAGACCCAACTTGAGGGGGAGTGTGGAAAGTTGAGAAGTTTGGCTCCTCTTAATGGTGGGTCAACTGGTTGATTCACATAATCATGAAAGTATTTGATTGCGGAATTTCTTCGGAAACGACTTTCTTATTTTTATTCCCTAATTATTTTATTTTTCTTTATTTTTTTTATTTCTGAATTATTTTCATTCCTAGTTTAGACTAGATTTATTTGGTACATCTGTACTTTCTTATTTTTATTCCCTAATTATTTTATTTTTATTTATTTTTTTATTTCTGAATTATTTCATTCCTAGTTTAGACTAGATTTATTTGGTACGTCTGTAAATTAGGAGGGATTGACTTCTTTATATATATACATCTGAATAATTGAATGAGTATCTTTTAACCCAAAGCTTATCTTCTACATTGATCGAATAAGAGAACTCAATAAGCAACTTGATTCCCATTTGTTTATGCCTTGAGGCTCATTTAAGTTCATTTAGTAAGGTATCAAACAAGAGTTCGTGAGCTTGATTAATGAATGAGCAAGTATAAAACTTAATCCTTACATATATTTTATGTTCACGACATGCTTGTTGAATAAGTAGCATACAAGAGCTTGATAGAGTAATTTTTGAATGATACTTTAGTTGCTTATATAATGTTTGTTCCATCATCTAAATTAAATCTTTCCATCGCATGTAATTATTAAGGAATATTAGTATATTACTAGAGTTAACAAGGAGTAATTTATTAGTCTTTATTAAGATAATCAAGGTTGTAGGCCATTAAGTTATGATAAATTTACATGAGATAATAATTATTCCTTTATCCATAATGATAAAAATATTGTGAACTAATAATCAGACTTCTAAGTAAGATAATTCCAACATAGATAAAGAAGTTTAAGGTAACTTTAATTAGCTAAGATTTTAAGAAAATCATCAAGGATTGTTCATGCTAAATCATAAATTATGACATTATGATGGGTTAAAGAAATGAGCTTAAGCCAAAGGGCAATCAAATGGTTTTGATAGCCATCTCCACTTACAACATCGGATCTCATTCACCAACCAAATGACTTAATCTTGCTTAAAGGTTTTACTTAGCTTAAATTATCTAGCTTACCTTAAAACCCTACCAAACAAACCCTTAAATTTAAACATTCTACCAAAAATATGTGTTAAACAAACTAGTTCAATATCTCTCTAAATACTTTAAATTTAAGAAGTCAGCTAACTTGAACATAAAGCTTTATCTTCATACATCTTCTTCAAAACTAACAAAACTACACCTTTTTGAATTAATCTATGATATGTTGTGTGATTCTATGCATTATCTTTTTATTTTTTTCACCTTTTCTACCATTCAACAACTTTTAAAAAAGCAATTTTCATTCTTCTTTGCTATACTCATATTTAATTAAGATCATCTTATCGTCGCTTCTAGCGACCAAGTCTGATGAAAATCTCTAGATCTACTTTTTCTCACCGTAACTATTTTACACAGCCCTGAATAAGATGGAATCAAATCCAAATGTAATGATTTTTCACACCGCAGCATGGATTGATCATTTTAGATGAACATTATCAATTTATAACACGGAAATGTAATTAGAGAAAACCATTACAACATATTTTCATAGCTCCCTGTCTTCAATCATCAAAATCACACCATTAAGAGAACTACAATAGCACTCAGCACAAACAAACGACATGATAATCACCAGATGAGCAAGTGCATGACATGATTTGCCAAAAAGGCAGAAGTTCATGTCGAAGAAAAAGGGTTTAGGGTTAATATGGTCAGAAAAGCGGACCTCTTGATGGATTTGACGAAGTCAGCTGCTGAGGGATGACGCATCCGCTCCAGAAAATCGTGCCAGGCGAGGGGAGCCGTTGAAGCACTAAAAACATCCGATGCACCCCCGCCGTCCATCGAAATGATGGCCGGAAAAAGTACGAGAGATGGCCAAAGATTTAACAGTAAATAAAAGTGGAAAACGAGATAAATGATCGATTCTGTAGTCGATCAAGTAGGTGAAGGAATCAAAACAGTCGATTGAGGAATTCTTTTGTCGCTGAAGCTGGGGAGGAGGCATTTGGCGATCAGTTCGACTGGAAACACATTAGCAGCTGGCATCAAAAGCGGCATGGCCGGTGGGGGTGAAGTTTTATACGCAGTTCATTCAGATTGTTGTCTGAAAGGATGGTCGCTCCACTTAATATTTACTCCTAAAATATATCTTATTTTCATTAAAAAATTATTATTTTACATGTCCAAAATCATAAAAATACCATTTATTTATCCATAAATTAAAATCTTATAACCCATAAAAAGTATCTTGCCACCAAAGGCCAAAGCATCATCATCTCCTCGTAACCTCAATAGAGGAAAACCAAGCACCCATCCTTTCATCTTCTTTCAGAAAGGTCATCGACTATTTGTCAACTCAAATTTCTTATTTCATGGCATTTAAGCATTTGGCAATGGTCCTTGCCAAAACACCACGTAACATTGGTTTTAATTTCAAGTAAGCATAGCAATGATGACATGTATATGACGAAAAATGTGAGGATGAATCTCAAGGCAATCTAACAGTTAAAACCAAAGGTACATGATGGGGATCCCCCCTGATGAATAGCTAAAAGTACTTGAGAATTTGACCGGTTGAAAACCACCAAGCTAAACAACTGAAGGTTATTCCAACTACCAAAAAGTCACCTTGGCCAACTAAGGACATGCATACATGTCGACGACAAGACAAAGGTCTAGTCCCCCCAATAATCTCACATGTATGAACGTGAAGTTCTCTCAAGTCTCAATGGCACCCCCAAAGATCCTCACAGAACAATAATCAAGCAAACCGACATGCCGCTCAAAAGCCGATTGGCTTCCACACTCAAAAATCGATTGGATCCTCAAAGAAAAGTTGATCGGCGCCCAAACAAAAATCCCACCTACACCAGCTCAGTTGGCCGACCAAATGACCTGTCAAGCGAAAGACCACTAAAAAAAAATAACAGAAATGCCATGTGCAACTCTTCTAAAATAGAGGTATAATATGTAATTGTACACCTTATCTCTCCATCTTCTATAAATAGGGGGATTATATCATTTATTAGGGTCTTTCTAGATCTTCCCTCTAGACCCATCTTTTGAAGGGAAAACTCTCTCCCTTCTTCTTTCTTGTAACTGTCACTTCCAATATATAAAATGGGTCAGAATACTACAGTTTGCCCCAAAGAGGCAAGTCGTTGTATATTCTCTTCTTCTCTCTCTCTCTCTCTTTGTCTCTCTCACCACCTCTCCCTCATGGTCCCAACCGCTACAACCATTTGGTATGCTTCATAGTATAAATTTGGATTCAACATCCTAAAATATGTCCTCATGGTCCCAACCGCTACAACCATTTGGTATGCCTCATAGTATAAATTTGGATTCAACATCCTAAAATATGTAATGACTGTGGAGCATTCTACCATTAAGAAGGGAAGCAACACCAACAAGGAGAATAACAGCACAAAGACACTCCTAATTGGGAGCACCCCGAGGAGTTCAAGTAGTAACAGATCTAGGAGCTAAAAACCAGTTTTTATCTTCTCTCGAGAGCCTTTGGATCAAAGGCAAAAACCCCACACCCGAAACGGACAACCGGCTCCCAGCATCAAAACACTATCTTAAAAAAAACCGACCGATGATACCTAAACAATGCTTAGTCGACTCTGGGTGGCTAAAATCTAGCTCAACGAATGAATCGAGTATCATTTCAAAACTTTTCTTTTGTGCTATTATACAAAATTTTTTTAATATTTTCTAAGGTTTGATGGACACTCAAAGAAGTCGAATCCAAGCAGCAAAGCCAACAATTGCTCCAAAGAGGTCTTGTCAGTGTAACAACCCACAACGATCTATCATCATAAACCTTGGTCTCCATGCATGAATCATATAAAGCTCTAGAGGTGTTTCTCTGCCCAACAGTGACAAACTTCGTGAAGAGTGCGACACAAATCACACTAAAATTGAGACTCGACGGTTACCCCCGTAAGACAGTTATAAGATTCGTGTAAAAGCTGACGGAAGAGCAGCTTGGCAGAGGCGACAATTAGACCAAACAACCGAGGCCTGGAAAAGACGTGTGTCAGACACCAATACCATAATATAATAAAGATAACTGATAACGACATCATAGATGTTCTATCATTGTCTTGACACATAATCTGACCCTTAACGCCAAGAATCAAAAAACCCATCTCAAAACCTAATGTGGATAAAGCCATGGAGGTGGATTTCTACCCAACAACGACAAATTTCATGAAGGGTACCTCGCAAATCACCCTAGGAGTGAGTCACGTCAGTTGCTTTACTGAGGCAACATTCCGAAAGAACGAATGAGACAAGCAGCATAAGACTTGTGTTGGATCGTGACATATCAAAAATGACCGATGATTATTCTAAAGATCTGAGTCATCAACAATTACCAACATTCACTTTATTCTCCAAGCATTAAAATTGAAACAAAACAATTGCCCCGAACTGCACATACCTATCAACCTCATCAAGAAAGAAAACACGTGGTTAAAATCTTAAAAAAAATTCAAAACAAACTTTAATTAACATAATACACCTCAAATAAGCCTTAAACAACCTCAAAATAAACTTTAAACAAATTGAAAAATTTTAGTTAACATTAAAAATAAATTTCTAATAACTTTATTAAACTTTAACAAAATAAACAAACAAACCAAATCAAGTCTCTTCAAGCAATCTTCAAAAATACTTCAAACACGTTTCAGATAAGCAATCTTTCATAACTTAAAATAAAACCTAATCAATCAAAATAAATTAAATAAAAATAAACCTTCAAACAAATTTAAATCTAGCCAACTAAAGTTTTCCAACTCAAGTAAATCATCTAAGTCAAACTTTTTTCAACCAACAATCAAACCAAAATAGATCAAACAATCTAAATCAAACTCTGTTAAAGTAAATCTAAATCTTTAAATCCACAAGTTAACCTCTTGTCTAATAAATTGGCAATCCTAATCTCAATCCCCATGGTGAGCCTTCTTCTTGTAGTTTCCTAATCCTTTTTATAGACCTTTTCATGACACATTATCGTTGGACTATAAGTACCGATCCTTCAATATCATGCAAATATTTTGAAACCCCAAGTATATCAAATTTAAAGTCTTAAACATCAATTTCACAGGCACTTACTGAATAATCATGCACTATATGCACCAATACTTTTACCAAGAGTATTTTCATAAGCCACAACTCTTGAAGCCGGAGGCTTTGTTTCTTGAGTTGTACTTTTTTCTTTTATCAAGTTTTTTGTTGTCCTCATATAATCTTTAGCTTGTTATAGATTGTTGAGGATAGTATGTACGTATGCATCATACTCTGTTTGGTTTTAACATACGAGAAATCATTATACACTCCTCATGGAGCTTGTCGCTGTCGGGTGTTGATATTTTTATAGGGGTTTCAAAAGATCATTTTCACACCCCTCACGGTGCTTGTCGTTGTCGGGTGTCAAAATGTCCTACATGCCACTGATGATCGTTATATACTCATCGCGGAGCTTGTCGCTTTCAGATGATTATAAGGGCTTTAGACAATCATTTTCACACCCATCGAGAAGTTTGTCAATGTCGAATGCCGAAAACATCTTATGTGCCACTGACGACCGTCATACACTCCTAGCAAAGCTTTTCATTGTCATGTATATATAAGGGCTTTAGACGATCGTTTTCACACCCTTACGGAGCTTGTCACTATCAGGTGTCGAAACATCCTACGTGCAACTGACAACTGTTTTACACCCCTCGTGGAGCATGTTGTTGTCGGGTGTTTATAAGGGCTTCAAACGATCGTTTTCACATCCTTCGCTGAGCTTGTAATTATCGGGTGCCGAAACGTCTTACGACCCACTAAAGCATCCAAAAATAATGAGATTTTAAGAGGTATAGAAGATATATTCAATTTTATTTGATTGAAAACAAATTTAATAAAAACTTATCTTTAATAAAGACTTTATTCAAAGAGTCGTGCGATCGGTAAAAATTATTGTATATATAATAAAAAAAGACTGCATATGAAATTTTACTTAGTCATATAAAATAACTAAAATGGTCATATAATACTGTTTTATTAGCAAGTTTTATAATATATTATTTAGAGTCATAGAAAAATATACTATTTGTTAGTTTAATGTGAAAATGTGTACTTTCAACGAGTTTATAAACTTATATATATAAGTAGCAAGAAAGAAGTGCAAAGCAGTTCAGAAGCGAGGAGGTTTATAAGGTATGGTTGCTTCAGCTATATATTCACCATTTACATGTTTTCTATAGAAAATTAATGAAATAATGATGCTTAATAATAATGTCTTATCTTATAAATATTTGACAAAATATCGTTAAGTATTTTGAACGTTATGAAGATTTTGTTGAAGACTCTTCTCTTATAAATATATGAGAAAATGTCTTTAAGTATAATGTAGATAATATATTGGTAAAGCTAATGTATAATTAAATTATTTTAAAAAATAATAATTTATTTTTCTTATAAAAGCTTTTTTTTTTGTGGTCAACCAACTAAAGGCCATATTAATATTTGTGGAACTATATGCATAGTTCTAATTTTGTGGGTTTTCTTTTGCTCATCTTTTTATACAAAATCACCCTTAAAAATTAATAAAATTATAATAAAAATATGTCAATTACAAAATTTTTTCTTAAAATTTTAATCTTTTGTTTAATAAATGTAATTAAGCTTGTAGTGAGAAAATAGCTGCTGACGCCCCAATAATTAGATGTTTTATTTTTATTTTTGTATTCACACTTTTGTGCATGATTAAGATTTTTTATTACAAAAAACACTTTTCGTGTTTTCTTACAAGAATTAAAAGAACAAAATTTATGTGTTTTCTACTTTTTTTAATATTAATAATTCCTAACTCAAGTAATCCTATATCACAAATAAGAACAAGTTCATACTAGTGATAATTTTTTCCTATTACTTAAAGAATTCCATGTAGTCACCTTCATCCTCTATATTATTATTTCATATTGGTCATTGCTTTTATTATACAATGTAATCTTATTAAGGGTTTAAGGTAATTTAAGCCATGCTTAGTTTTTTGTTTTAATATTATTTTTACTTATGTCATAACTAATTGTTGATAATAAGCTCA